GCATCGATGATCACTCAGTGGAAAGCATGCACAACCGAACTGGTTCAAATATGCCAAGTAAGGAGTGTCGACAAAAATGGTTTAAAAATTGGGGCAAATGGTCAAAAACAATTCCCCCCACAACGAAATTATGGAAGAAATCATAAGGCCAAGGTGACCTATTGCAACAACTGAAATTTGGTTAGACTGTGCACTCCAAATCAGTCAGTCCGTAAATTAACAATGAGTGTGTTATGTAAAGACGAGGGAGGAGAGGGTGGTGGAGACAGCAACTGACCTTTGACCCTAGTGGCCGAAGCGTATTGCACACAGCATTGATTGCCCAAATGTTTGATCGTGTCAACTGCCTTCTCAGCGAACAGTAGAGCCAGTTCGAAATTACCTGTATTGTACTCATGAACGAAGATGGTAAAAGCGAGTTTCTCTAGACCCAAAGCAGTTGTCATACTCAAACCAGGTAGGCAGTCCAACATAATTGAAAGACCTACCTATGGAGTACAAATAGCACGTCAATCAATGGCACAAACATCATACATACATCAGACGCTCAGTGGGTTTCTGCCATGGAGTGCTTAAACAAACTACGTTAAACTCAAATGGCCTATGACACCTCACGTATTATTCAGTAAGGATAAAAGATTAAACCCTCTGAAGTACAATGTGTTGACAAATTACCTACTTGGAACCAGGTACAATTTGAAAATTGTTTGACGATGATTAGAGTCCTATAGAATGGGAAATGATTCAATACATTCGTCCCCCCCCGCCTCAGAACTATTTTAGCATCACTAATGAAGGAACCGTTTACCCCCACTTCTCGTCCTTTTAACGAAACAAAGACAGCAAAGACATACCCTAACTACAACTATCAGTCTCCAGTAGACCCCACTAGTCATTTCTGCTATGCCTGATTAATTATCAAGTTGACTCTCATCTTTGTCTAACCTGTCAAGTTCATACAAGTTATCTTTGAATTTTTTCCTGCTTAATAAATGTCTAAAATCTGGTGGACCAATCAGCACTTTCCCAACAAAATAAAGGATCGCTATGGGCTTTAGGCATATCATTTTTTGACGAATAAAGGGAAGTCTTGCGCACAGATTAAAGGATGACCCACCAGGTAGGTTTCCAAAGATCTTGAGGTAGTATCTGTATTGAGAAATAGACAGGTAAGGTCAAGCAGAACAGTTGCATAGAGGATGTTGTGCGAACCCAGTGTTTCTCTAGAGAGGAGAAAAGAAGAGTTCGGTGAAAAGGGGTCTACAATTCTCAACCCCAGGTTATGGACAAACAAACTCATCATTTGATGTTGACCATTGGTTACAATAGAGAGCTGGCCTCAGTGTCGGGAGTTCTTAGAGGATCATTCATGACAAGAACACTGATAAATACCATTCAACAGCCAAAAGTGCTTACTTTACCGAAATATTGACTGTCAGCCATCATAACTAGTAGGGAAGTTTGTGGAGGCATTTTGACCTTGNAAACTATTTTAGATTACAAAGAAAACTAAGTGTCACTCATGAGAAAAAATACACCCACAGACAAAGGGCTTCATATTGATAACGAATACTGGTGCATTCCAGTTTGGGATTTTTCAGAGAAAAAGATTGGATTGAATTGAATGTTGCCTGAGAAACTCGAAAGCAATAAACAAACTCGGATGCATCCAAGAGAAATTTGGACACCTTTAAGGACACTTTAATTGCTGAGAAAAATTTCGTGGCATCGGCTAAGCTCGAACGCAAGACTTCTTGCACATTAGCAACCAAACGATTAGAGATTCCATGCAACTTCCAGGGTGGATTCTCATCATTATCGGCTAATTAAATAATCTAACATGAAATTAAAATAAAATAATTACGTAGCCATAAGTTTTGCATCCAGGAGTAGATAAACTGCTGCTGTTCTCTACAATTCACTTATCAATATAGATTATAACTCATACCTTGCTAAATCGAAAAGGCATTCAAAGACGCGCAAATCAGCAAGAAATACTCGAACAGATTCTAAACTTTCAGCAGCCCCTTCCTGTTTAATATATTCGGTATGGACCATAGGGAACCAAAAGACATAAAAATTCTAAAAGCGTCATTGAATTTATATGAGACAAACAGTCAAAACTAGAGTAGTTAAAAGGTCCCTAGACGTAAAGAGATCGTCCGTTTCGTTTATAATCGTCGGCGATTGAGGCAAATATAAAGCACATATTCGTTGAAGCGTGCAGTTATCTTCCAAGAACAACTTCAAAAGCCTGTCAGAAATCGGACAGACTTTTAAGGAACCATAGAATGTATCAATATTTCTTGAAGTTTGGTAGTCTGTAGGTCGAAAGAAAATGTCCAGATCCTCCATTGCCTTAAAGGGTAACAATTCTTTCATTCGCGAATAAGAAATTTCGATTTCTCGATCCGGAGCATTTTCTTCTTCTAGTTCTGCGGTTTGGTGAGACTGAAGGTAAGACAGAATTAACCTCATCTGAACGAACATTCTGGTTTAAATGATCGAACTGGAGCTATAAACCTTGAGATTAACCTTAAAATAAAATATTAGCACGCTAAAACACATTTCCAGAAAATATGCAAGTTTAGTTCACACTATTCCAGGTGAGGAAAATGGAATCTCGAATTCTCTGAAGCCATGTATTAATTTAGTTTTCACTCATAACTAAACTGGTTGTTATTACTTCTTAATATAATTTATTGCAAACAGATTATATATTAACCATACTAACTCATTTAGTATTACAATAGGTGCTCGCGGCCATTTCTATTTGATAATCTTACAATCTTTACTTTGCCACCTGTATGTAATTCTGCCTTAGAACCAATAACCCTACTGTATTTGAGAATGCAAAATTACATTGTAGACGAACCAGAGGATAGCTCAAGAGTTACTTTACTTAATGGTATTCAGAATGCGCGAATTAACTTGTCAATATATTAGGTACAGAGGAGAGAGATGTTTCAGGCCAAAGTCAATCTGAAGA